CCCCGCCCGGCCCCGCGCCCGGCCCAGAGCCTGGCCCCGCGGAGGAGATCCGCAGCAGCTGCATGGACGCCCTCCGGAAGGACGGCGTGGGCTCCCCAAGGGTCTTCCTCGTCTCCAGCCTTCTCCGCGAGGCCTACGACCTGCTGGCCCTCCAGACAGCCCTGGAAACCGACGCTCCGGCCCTGAAGAGGGAGGCTCTGGAGAGGGCCATCCCCGTGGTCTTGAGCCGCCTGGTGAGGAGGAAGAGCAAGGCGCTGATGAGGGATGTCTGGGGCAAGACCCTGCAGAGCTGCCTCTACTACGAGGAGAAGCCTGGCCATCATGGCCTCGGCGTTTGCCATCGATCTGAGCCTGGATGAGGAGTCTCTGGCCCAGGTAGCCAAAGCCACAGGGAAGCCGGTCGGGCTTCTCCAGGCTGAGATCCGGTGCCCCTGGCTCAGGCACCCCGACCCAGAGCAGGTGCTGAGGCAGATCACTAAGTCAGTACCCTTCTCCTCCCGGGTGTGGAGTCTGGTGCCCTACTGGGGCCAGGGGGCCGTGGGGCCGCCCGAGATCTCCTTGGAGGCCACGTACCGGGCACTGGCACAGGCCCTGGCAGAGATGACAGATGATGCAGAGCGGATGTTTCGCCGAGCCTATGCCAAGGAGTAGGAGGAGGGGCTGTTTGTAGAGTACCCTTATCCCAGTGCAGAGATGCAGCCAGCTCTTGGGTGGGGCACCAGAGCTATTTACACAGGGCTCCCTTCCCTGGTGCCAAGATGCAGCCACCTGGGGGAGAGGGTCAGGAGTGTGGGGACCCCTCTCCTGCTGGGAGCTGTAGCTATGTGGCGGTGTGGGTGGACACTGTGTGACACAGGGCTTGCTGCTGCATTGAAGGAGTGTGTGTGTGTGTGTGTAGCTGTGTAATTGCATGGTTCTCCCCCGCCCTGCCCCTTGCGCAGACACCCTGCTGAGCTCAAGGAGACTGATGTTCTGGCCAGAGCCACAGCCACTGGGCCCTCCACAGCACAGACTTTGTATTAGTTCTTTCTTGTCTATTTTCCTTCAAGCCGAAATAAAGTGGAGACCCAGGCAGGACCTTTGCTCTGTGGTGAGGGAAATGAGGAAAGCAGGGGGAGCTGCTGCCTGCCCTACAGTACCCTGGGAGTTGGGGCTCTGGACACCCCAGTGCACCCTGGGAATATGGGACTCTCCATCCTCCAATGCATCATGGAATGTGGGGCTCTGGTCACACCAGTGCACCCTGGGAATATGGGACTCTCCATCCTCCAATGCATCATGGAATGTGGGGCTCTGGTCACACCAGTGCACCCTGGGAATATGGGACTCTCCATCCTCCAATGCATCATGGAATGTGGGGCTCTGGTCACACCAGTGCACCCTGGGAATATGGGACTCTCCATCCTCCAATGCATCATGGAATGTGGGGCTCTGGTCACACCAGTGCACCCTGGGAATATGGGACTCTCCATCCTCCAATGCATCATGGAATGTGGGGCACTGGACACCCCAGTGCACCTTGGGAATATGGGACTCTCCATCCTCCAATGCATCATGGAATGTGGGGCTCTGATCACACCAGTGCACCCTGGGAATATGGGACTCTCCATGCCCCAGTGCATCATGGAATGTGGGGCACTGGACACCCCAGTGCACCCTGGGAATATGGGGCTCTCCATGCCCCAGTGCATCATGGAATGTGGGGCACTGGACACCCCAGTGCACCCTGGGAATATGGGGCTCTCCATGCCCCAGTGCATCATGGAATGTGGGGCACTGGACACCCCAGTGCACCCTGGGAATATGGGGCTCTCCATGCCCCAGTGCATCATGGAATGTGGGGCACTGGACACCCCAGTGCACCCTGGGAATATGGGGCTCTCCATGCCCCAGTGCATCATGGAATGTGGGGCTCTGATCACACCAGTGCACCCTGGGAATATGGGACTCTCCATGCCCCAGTGCATCATGGGAATGTGGGGCTCTGGCCACACCAGGGCACCCTGGGAATGGGGGGGGGGGCTCTCCACACCCCAATGCATTCTGGGAATGTAGGATGCTGGCCATGCAGTGCACCCTGGGAATCTGGGCCACTGCGCTCCGCAGGGCATCATGGGAGTTGGGGTGGCGGACGCACACAGCACACTGAGTATCATGGCGGGGCGCCCCCTGCAGGATGGCTGCGTGCCCCTGCATTGCCACCCCCATTAGGGAAGTGTGTGGCAATCGCGCGTGCGCACAACTCCCAAGAGGTGTCACGCATGCGCACACATCTCTTGCTGTAGCACTTGCTGCGACACCTTGAGCGGAATCACTGCGCGCGCCCCCGTCTCCAACTAACGGTTCAGGATGCGTGCTGCGCATGCGCCTTTCCCCTCTCCATGCACCTTTTCCCAACACGCATGCGCCTTCTGCAGGAGTGCGACGTCGGGCGCCGAAGGACCTCCGCCTCCCCCTTTTGGGTGGCCTTGGCGAATGCCTGATTGGAATGACACAGGGGCGGGGCTAGGGGCGGGGGAGGAAGGGAGCGGTCCCGGGGGCCGGTGGATCGGGGCAGGCGCGGGCAGGGG